GCGCACGCGTGTGTGTGTGTGTGTGTGTGTGTGACTGGAAACTGAACTGAACCCTTGGGGTGAGGACATGGAAGATCTACCACCTTGTGCTTGCCAGGCAAGAGCTTAAAGCCACTGAGCTATCTCCCCAGCACCCTCATGTTTTGGATTACTGTTTAGAAATATATTGCTTAATTTGCACATACAGATTTTTCTGTGTTTTTTTTTTTTTTTTTTTTTTTTGAGGGACTGAGAATCAAACCCAGGACCTCACACCTGCCGGGCAGTTTCTGTATAACTTTTATTACTGATTTCTAACTTCATGGCAGTGAGGGAAGATAGTTTATATGATCCGAGTGGCCGGAAGCTCGGAGTCCTGCTCTGTGGCCCACATGTCTGCGGGGTGCGGCTGGCAGGCTAGGGCGCCAGTTACACAACTGCTGACTGTGCTGGCCTACCCGCGTAGCCTCATGAATTGCTTTTTCTTCTTTTGTGGTGCTGGAGATTGAACCCAGGACCGTCACACTGAGCTACACACTTAGCCTTTTCTGATCATTGACATGTTGAGATAGGGTCTCGCTAAGTTGCCTAGGCATGCACTTGTGACCCTCCTGCCTCAGCCTCCCAAAATGACAGAAATACAGGCACGTACCTCTGCTTCTGGCTTCCTCACTAATTTTTTTTTACAGCTTTATATATTTATTTATTTTGTGTGTGTGTGGCCAGCTCAGCCCACCAGGGGGCGAGGCCGGCTGGCATGTGGTGCTGGGGGATTGAACCGCGGTCCCTCTGCTTTGCTTAAGCTGAGCTTGTTCTAAGTGGGCGCTTTAGACCACTGAGCCATCTCACCAGCCCCCTTTTACAGCTTTATTGAGGTATAACTGACAGATTAAAAATTATATTTAGAATACACACCATGATGCTCTGACACACATACACTGAGAATTACTCATGCACAACCTAACTGGTTAACTCCATCAGCTCATGGAGTCACCTGTCTCTCCCTTGGGGTGAGGACACGGAAGATCTACCACCGTGGCACGCTCCATTATTCTGAGCTCTGGTCCCCCGCCGCACATGGGGAACCTACTGCCAGAGATCTGCACCCCCAGACCGGCAGCTCCCTTTTCTCCCTCCTCGCCAACCGCATGCTGCCTCTGCTCCTCCCAGCTCTGCGCTGCGGCTTCCATGCAGAAGTGTGCTCATGCAGGACCTGCTGCTCTGTCTGGCTGGTGTCACCAGAGGTGTCCCCGGGCCCCCCAGTGTCCCTGCACTTGCTCAGACACCCGCGATGTCTCTGTTCGTCCATCTGCTGGTTAGCCCTTCGCCCTGGCCATCATGAACAGTCCCAGAGGGAACTGGGAAGGCAGATGTCTCTGATACCCCGACTCCCTCGCCTCTAGGGGTACATATCCAGTCCTGGGACTTTGCTGGGTCAAAATGTTGTTTATTTTATCTGGGGTTATTTTGGTCTTCATGAACCTGGATATTCATTTTTTTTCCTCTGAATTTGAGAATTTTATGTCATTTCTTTAAATAAGCTTTCTGCCAGGCACAGCGATACTTAGCTGTCATCCCAGCACTCGGGATGATCAGGCAGGAGGACTGCTGAGTTTGAGGCCAGCTTGGGCTACCTGGTGAGTCCAAGATCAGAGTCTTGGTTACTCTTCTCTCGTTGCTGGGACAAGTTACCCGACACTCAGAATTAAGGAAGGAAAGGTGCACTTAGCTCAGGTAGTGGAGCCTTCAGTCCATACTCAGGCTGTGTGGGCCGTGGCAGAGGGCAGCAGCTCATGGCGGAGGAAAACAGCAGGGAGCAAAGGGAGGAGCCGCGGCAGCCGCAAGCAGGCTGAGCAGGCTGAGCAGGCCTCCCTCCTCTGTGCCGCGTCCAGGCTGGCCGCCCCAGGGCGGGTGCAGCTCTTACACCACAATCCCAGCACTGGATCACGAACTAACCACAAACTCTAGAAGGCGTCCCACGACTGCAGGAGGCTTAGGAGGCATCAGGCACAAACCATGACAATCAGCTTGAACTACAGTGAGATCACATCTCAAAAAATAAAACAAACAAAAATAAGTTTCGGTCCCTCTCTTTTTTCTCTTCCATAACAAGTATACTGATTGGTCTGGCAGTGTTCCACACGTCACAAACTGTGGACCATGTGGCTGTCGTCGCTCTGTCCTCCACCGTTTCCTGGTTTTACTTGCTTTTCTCTCCGGGGTCCCGAGCGGCTTGTGTAAGACGGGCACTGTGAACTACCAGGCGGCTCCCGCTCCCCGGCAGGAGGGCTGCTGGCGCGTGGCCTTGTTATTCTGATGATTTCCCGCTTCCCTGGTTACGAGGCTTCCTGTCCGGGCGGCCCCCAGAGCCTCAGGTGTCCAGCGGCAGGGCTGTGGGGCAGTGAGTGGCCCATGGCGCCGATCCTCATAGGTGGGTGACAGCAGTCATGAGTCTGCCGGGAGTGGGCTGGCGGCAGGAGGTGGGGAAGGAAGCCTGCCCGGGGCCTCCTCAGTGGGGCTCTGGTCACTCGCTTTCGAGGTTCCTCTCCAGGTCCTCTGGGCTTCCAGCACAGACGCTCTGGATTTCCAATGTGGACTCTCGAGACTCCGGCTGGTCCTCGCCCTCCAGCACACGAATGGCCCTTCTGTGGCTTCCGCCCCACCGCTCTGCAAGCAGCCATTGTCACCCTACCTAGGAAGTCGTGTGCACATCACACACACACACACACACACACACACACACACACACACACATAGTCTGTTCCTTCAGCGGACTTCGACCAGTGCATGAGACCCTACCATAGAACAGCTGAGGAAGACGGTGTCCTGTCCCTCTTCCTGCCTCTGTCCCTTCCTCCGGCATTATCGCTTTCCTCTGACAGCTCGCGATGGCTGCAGTGTGTTCTGTGACCCAATCTTCTGCCTGGGTACGGACTTGTCCCCAGAGACGCAGGCTCGTGACCACCCGTCTCGGGGCTTGCTTTCTGGTGCACGGCCCTGCTGCCAATCCTAAGACCTCGCAGGCACTGACCCTCACCTAGCACCTAGCGGCAACTGGGGGCGCAGCGCCTACGGTGAGCCTGACATTGTCTCCTCTTCCAGGACTCGCTCTTGGCTTCAGTGCCCCTCAGCTTTTCTGCCTCTCTGCACGCCCTGGGAATGGTGTGCCTCTTCTTCGTATTTTGCAGAGTGGTGAGAGTTCGCAGGCTTTATGCAGGGGTTGGTCCTGGGTCCAGAAACCCTGCAGCTATGGTTACCTGTGCCTGGGAAAGAGTTCAAATCCCAGGTCCCAGCCCCAGAGAGCCTGGACCTCCGGTTCTCTCCTCTTCTGGAACGGACCGGGTCTCCCCAGCCCATCCGTACACTTTGCATATTGCGTACGGTGCGGGTGTGTGTCCTGCGCTCAGCCTAACACGCCACAGACAACGGATGAGCCTCTTGGCCTGCCCAGTGCTCCGCAGCTCAGCTAAGGGGTCGAGTACGGTGGGCTGCACACAGTGGCAACACAAGCAGCTTTGCACTGCTTGATAAATAAAGGAAAACTGCCAAAGTGGGTCGGATAGAAAATGTGTAATTCTGACCAGAGAGATGGCTCAGTGGAATAAGTGCTTCCGTGGCAAGTGCAAGGGCCTGAGTTCAATCCCTGGTTCCGCAAAAAAAAAAAAAAAAAAAGAAAAAGAAAATGTGTAATTCTTACAGATAGTAGCAAAGAATCCACAGAGCAGAGAGGAAGAGGGGAGAGGAAGATAGGAGGGGAAAATCCAGTTTGCTTAGTGAACCCCCAAGCTTCGGCGGCTCTGCTTCCCGCAGTGTTAGTACGCATGCACAAGGGACTCACTGAACATGGTTTCCATGGAGACTTGGTAGCCAACCCAGGAGCAGGCCCCCAGTGTGCCTAAGGGCAGGGCACCAGCCCACATGGAAAGGGGGGCTTGACAGGACTGAGGTGGCCTTAGATGACACAGGCACCACACCTCCTGCCTGCTGCCCCGGGCAGCCTTGTTCTGGGAGAGACCCCCCCCCAGCGCCCACCGGGCTCAGGCGCGCTCACCCTGGGTAGCCCAAGGCCAGTCCCAGGCGGCCCCAACATCCACCCTGCTGTCCCCCGCAGGGAGGTAGGCTTGCGCCAGGGCTAGCAGCTAGCGGGGTCCAGGTACCAGTCCTAATCCAACAGGACCCAGGACCTCGGGAGGCACCAGCCTGGGCAGCACACAGCAAGCGGCCGCTACCCCGCGGGAGGGAGGCCTCCGGAAACCAGCCCAGGGGCACCTTGACCCGACTGAGGCCTCCAGACCCTCAAGGAGAGACTCTGGCACTTCTGCAAGGGCCACGGTTGAGGAGGCACGGCCAATCGGCTGGGACTGTCCCAAGGGAGGAGCGCTGCCACCTGCGATCCCGGGCAGGCGGGTATGCAGGGTCGTAGCTGGGGCCAGGGAGCCAGGCAAGGAGGGCACTGACGCTGGTGATCTGCATACGGGGTTCACGTGTGTACCCCATCCCAGAGGGGCTTCAGGTTGCGAAGCCCACAGCACACCCTGTCACCTCCTTCCCAGGCCATGTGGATGGCTCCCCGCCCAGGGCAGCAGGGCGCATGCTGCCTGTTAGCCCCGAGCCAGGGCCCGGGGAGACCCATGGCACAGGCACCCCAACCTCAGCCTGGCCTGAGAGCCTCATGGCTAGTGTGGTCCTCCAAGCAATCTGTGAGGTGGCCTTGCAGTGGGGGCGGCGGCTGCCCACCTACACGGCCCATGAGCTAGAGCCCAGAGAAGACCTCTGGTTCCTCCCACAGCCTCCAGGCAGGAGCTCCTGCAGCCATGCCGGACCAGGAGAGAACGGGGAGGTTGGGAGGTGGGGAGGAGGCAAGCCGGAGGCTCCGCACTTCTGGGGCACAAGGGGCCCAGAGGCCAGATGCCCCTGCTGTGCAGAGACCACCCCGTTCTCTGGCCGGGAGCTGCGTGGGCCCCGGGGGATGAGGGGAGGAAGCGGCCATGCTCTCCACCCAAGGCACACAAAGCCAATCATTCCAGCAGAAAAGAACATAGGTTTATTTGGAGTAAAAACTGGTCTGAAAAAACCAATTGGCAAATGTACAGTTTGTGTTTCAGCTGGGGTCGCGGCGAGCGGACCCCGGATCCCTGACTCGCATGCAAGGGGCCCCTGAATGTTCACAGCTGACCTGGGCCCGGTTCTCGGCTCCGGAGGGTGCCACCTGTGCCGACACACCTACAGCCCGGTCTCCCACCACCCTGCTCGGTACAGTGCAAAAACAAAGCCAAATCAAACACAAAGGTCAAAACAAACACAGAACAAAACATTCACAAAGCCCAGGCTCGGACTGCGATTTTCAGTGTTCTCTGCCACCGTGGCGGCGAGTGTCACCAGGAGCACAAGTCTTCCTCCCCGACCCCTGCGATAAATCCCTTCTTATGCAGAGCGTGGGAGACGCGCAGGAAATAATCACAATCTTTTTCCCTTAAAAACAAAACGAAACAAAAACGGGCTGAACAAAAAAACACAAGGGAACGAAAACCCACCAGAAAGCCCCGACTGGTGAGCCTCGGGGGCTGCGCTCTCCCTGCCGTCCGGGCCAGCTCGAGGTGCCAGGGTGCTGCCCCCAAGGCCCGCGCCCCCTCTCCGAGCCCATCTCCGCTGCCCCCACCTGCCTGTCGTCTCCCTTGCCCAGGCTGCTGGTGTGCAGGCCCTGTCTTGATGTGAGGCACCCTGGGGCCAGTGTGCTTCCCACAGGACGACCTCCCCCGGCTGGGTCAGACCCGCTTTGCCTGGGGCCATGCAGTGAGCAGGACATGGGCCAAAGGAGACCCACAAGCCCCAGAAGTTCTGTCTTGGAGCCCAGAGGGAAAGTCACCCAGCCTCGTGCCACCTCAGGCCAGAGAATGGGCTGTGGCCGAGCCAGCAGGAGCTATCAGGGAGGACAAGGGGGATGTGAAGGGCACAGCCACCCAAGGGCACTTAGGTCCAGTTTTTGCCATGGCCTATGCGCAGGCAGAGGCCCGTGGAGGGAGACCGGGCCTGGGCCAGAACCGACCATTTGCAAAGGCTGGCAGAACCAGGGCACCCTGTGCAGGACACAGAGGGGGAGGTGGGTGGGCGGCAAGACCGTGGAGACGGAACCCCAAGCCCCAAGGCGCCTAAAGAAGGCGTGTCGCCCGGCAGCAGGTTCAGGGAGAGGCCCTTACAAGGCCAAGAACAGTACCATTGACTGGGGTTGGGTCGGCAGTGCCATTGTCCCTTGGCCCCTCCTGAGAGTGGGGCCGCCCTGTGGGGTCTGCAGGCCCCTGGTGGGAAACAGGGAAGCCGGGGGAAGTCCCAGGAGCCAGCAGGTTGTGAGCCCCGCGAGCTCCCTCCCTCTGCACCCAGCACAGTGGCCAAGCAGGACCACGGCAAACTGCCCAGCTCTGGTTCCCATCGCTCCCCTGGGCCGGGAGCCCTGAGAGCAGCAGAAAAAGGGGCCGAGTCCAGGGGCTGAGGTGGCCCCTGCCCTTCTGACGTCCCCAGCCCCCCAGACATCATCTACTGTCTAATCCGAGGCGCCTGAGCACCGTCTCCCCCCGAGGGGCACGTGGTGAGCCTCTGGCCTCCGCTGCCATAAGGGCCTGGTCTGTCATGCGGCTGGCACTGGCCACCGCTCCACACTGGCAGGGCTGGCCTAGGCTTCCTCTATGTACAAGCAGCACACCCACAGCAGGTCCCCGAGGGCAGGCGGGCGGCAGGGAAACAGTCCAAGAGTCGCATTCCAAGTGCCCTCCCCACCCCTACGGGCTGTCGACAACAGGCAGCTTGGTGGGCGTCTCCCCTGGGAGTCACAGAGGAGCCAGAGACAAGACTTCAGGGCTGGGGACATTCTCCCGAGACAATCTGCCAAGGCTGCCGAGCCCCCGTGGTCACTGGATGCCCTCCTCTTCCACGTAGGTTGAGGGAAACCAGCCGACCTGAAAGAGACGCAAGAGCGATCACGCGTGTGCTGGTGGCCGTCCGGACAGCAGGGTTATGTGCAAAGAACCCTTAAAGGCTACGAGGTCACTGGGGCAGGGGAGGGCCGGGAGAGGGCGCAACCCAGAAACACATCGGCCTTGTTCAGCTAAGATGTTTGTTGGAACCAGGAATTGAACTCAGGACCTTGCGCTTGCCAGCCCGGTGCCACATTGCTGGGCTATGTCCCCAGCCCCTGCCAGTTAAGATGATCACAGCTGGAAAAGAATCGACTCTACCGGGGAAAATTACGTGGCCCACACCTCCCAGCCTCACCTGGGGCCCACGTGCATCGGGATGGCAGAAGCTGGCCTTCACATCATGCACTGAGGCATAAAGAACGCTGACCCGAAGAGGCGGACGGCTGACCATTGGGGTCCCAGGGAAACCCCGGAACCGAAGACGCCAAGGGGACGCCGAACCCCGACAGAGGTGTGGTAGCGAGGGCAGCAGGGCCAGGTGACAGCGACCCGACGGATGGGTGGCCGGGAAGCACGGGAGGGCGACGAGGCCCGCAAGCCCTGACGTCAGTGTGCACAGGGTTGAGGACGCGACGCAGACATGGCGCACGGGGGCTGCACAGCTTGTGTTTCAAAGCACAGCAGGGGCCATGCTCGGGATGTGTCCCCCCCCAGGCACCAGCAGGACCGTGGCCTGCAGACTGGCAGAAGCCAGGGGACGCTGAGTGACATGAGCAGAGAGCAGCATGGGGTCCCCGGCACCGTGTCCCACACCAGGTGGAAAACTCCACCCAGACAACAAGGAAGACTGCTCACAAAACGGACAGCGTCTCCTCGGAGAAGCCAGCCCTTCTGGGCAGACCGGAGGAGCTCGGGAGGAGACGGAGGGCAACAAAAGGTCAGCAGTAACAGGCACAGTGCAAGCACGGCACAGAGAGGGACAGAAGCAGCAGGCGACCGCGTGGGCGGACGAGACGTTGGCCCAAGCTCCAAGAACAGCTGCGCCCGGCACCTGCGGCACGGGTTCCCGGGGCCCTTGGACACCAAACGGGACACCCCGTCTCTTCTGCGAGATGGCGTGGTGCTGACACAGCCTGCATGTGCTCCGTGCCTCCGTACTGCACGGTGCCCCGGGCCACGGGAATGCGGGTCGGGGCTGCGCGCCGCAACTGCGTAGGGCGTGCTGCCGGGGAGGTCTGCTCATTACACACGCAGTTCTATCAAGACCCTTCTGGTCTGTGGCTGAGCTACGGACGTGGAAGGCGGAGTGCCCCATCACACAGCGCGGCCCAAGACCGCGGGGTGCGCTCCAGCACAAAGCGCGGCACGGTTGTGGCGCATCTTCCTCGTACCCCCCCCCCAGTCCACGCACATTGCCCACTGTCCTTGCCACCTTCTGGAGCAGCTCGGAGCCCGCTCTCACACGTGTCTCTACAAGGGGTGATCAAAAATGCGGTGAACGCTATGTCAATGCCACCAACCAAAAGGCAGCTGGTGAGCGCGCCACAGCGGGTCTGCGTCCGCCTTCGGCACCGGGCGGGCGTCCTGCCACTTCTGGCTCTTCCCAAAGCCAAAATGACTGTGAAAAGGGACATTCTGAGCTGACTCAGGACACACACTGAGCCACAGCAGCCACGAAAGACACCCACGAGAGAAAGAAACAACAACAACAAAAACCTTTCAGGGCTGCTTCAGGAAGTGGTCACGTGGGGTAAATAGCCAAAGCCAGGGAGACCACTTCGGGGAGATTCATAGCGGTGCGTCCTTTGGCAAGAAAAGTAAATGTTTAAAGAGATTCACTGGGGCCGGGGAGATGACTACGCGCTGGCTTGGCAAGCACGAGGGCCTGAGTTCAATCCTTGGTTATGCCAACAACAAAACAAGGAGGCCCTGTACAACCGACCAACCACTTTCAGCCTGCCCACGGGTCCTACCAGTTAGAACCTAACCTTGGGTTGCAACAATAAAGAGATTCACCATCCTTTCAACCCACCTTGGATTATACTGCAAATTTCATTCCTTTGGGGGGAGGGGCAGTGAAGCGAGGCCTCACAGACGCCAGGCAACGGCTCCACCTTGGAGCTACCGCCCCAGCCCTTCCTTCTTTACTCTGTGACAGGGTCTCACTTGTAGCGCCCAGGCTGGCCTTGAACCTGTGTCCTCTGGCCTCAGCCTCTGGAGTAGCCGGGATTACGGCCAGGCACCACCACCCCCCGGCAGGTTACTTATTTACTGCAGCAACTTCAAAAAAGAGGCACCTGGCAGACGCCTCCTTCACCAAGCGATCAAACAACAGAAAAAACCGGCATCACACCCTCCTGGCAGGACACAGTGTCCCTGAGAGCGATGACGTGGGTCACGGCGTACCCAACAACGTGCCCTCAGTCTACCACGTATCACACACACCTGAATAGACTGTGGCAGGTTCTGCAAAAACAACTGGCCCCAACTCTTCAGAAAGTGTCCCAGTCACACAAGAACCTGGACTCATTCCGGGACTGAGATCAGGGCTGTGGCACGTGGACATGCCTCACGGTCCACGTGAATCTGGATCTCGGAGCTTAGGAAACACAGGGCGAAGGTGTGCGCCTTCCACAACCTACCTTCAAATGCTAAAAGCACACAGAACTAGGGCGCAGGACAATACTTGGAAGGGAAGAAAACGAACGCAGTGAAGGCTCCGAGTCCTCGCGCCATCTTGGGACGTGACCGTGGCTGCCGAGGTGGCCTCCGCACAGCAGGGGCATCTGCCCACCACCCGGACAGACACATGGCGATCAGCGCGTGCATCTGACTAATCACGGGAGGGGACGTGGGTCAGTAAGACAAGAGCACTCATTAATTCAACGGTGGTCGAGAAAGAGAAGAAATGGTTGTGACAAATAAATGATGAGGCGACGCATTCGCCCACAACAGCCCGTGATCACACTAGTTAGCAGAAAACATGTGCCACGGAAAGGCAAAGGCAGACAGGTCACACTGGCTTTTAAAAAAAGCCACCTGTGAGTGACACCCACGTTAAACGCAAGAGAGAAAAGCTTGCCACGCAAGACCAATCCCATGGAGTGCAGGGACCCTCTGAAGGCCAGGTGGACTTTGCAAGAACTGCCCCAGGTGAAAGGGACATCTTGCAGCAACAGCAGGGTCTCACCCACAGCCATTACGTGGTGAGGATGCTTCCACGCCCCCAGCCCAGGTGCACCTTGAGCGCCGTGATCCAAGGCTCGAGGCTGCAGCCTGGGCCTCACGCCTGCCCCTTGCTGAAGGAAGGCAAGCTGACTACACCTGAGGCCGGCGGGGGCTGAGGCCATGCCCAGCAGGGGCGCTTGCCTGTGGGTGGCCGCGGCCAGGCTGGGCCGGACATCTCCTAACCGGTCGCACCCAGAACTCTCGTGCCCCACTGGGAAGATCAAAAGCAGAGGATCTGACGCAGCTCTGGGGTGCAGGGCCCCAGGCTCCAGACTCAGAGCGGGCGGGGAAGAGGAGGCCAGGGGCCAGGGTAAACACCTGGAGCCCCCTTTCCCTCCCTGACACCGGCTCCAGGGCCAGAGGGAACCTGTGCAGGCCCCGCAGGCTCTGGAGGGCCCAGGCACTCACCCGGCCGTTCGTCTCGCCCTTCCACCAGCCCTGGTCCCCGCCAATGCGGCTGTGGATCTTCACCACGTCGCCCTCCCGGAGCGAGAGCTCCCGCATGTCCCGTGCGGCGAAGTTGTACCTGGCCACCGCCGTGCCGATGACGCGGGGTGTGAACACTGTGGGGAAAGGATCCGCATCACAAAGCCACAGGAGCCTGGCCAGGCTGGGGGCCCGGGCCGAGCTGGGGACTCCGTGCCCAGCCCTGTGCCCACAGAGGAGGCCGTGACCAGGAAGGCTGCGGCCCAGTCTGGGTACACGGTGAGGCCAAGTCCTCACACTGGGACAGGGCAGGGCCTTGTACTGGCAGCTACTGCGGCAGCGAATGGGGGCTTGGGGACCCCCAGGGGCCGTGCTCTGGCTGTTATGGCCTAGAGTCTGCCCATCCCAAGCCACAAACCACCCCAGAAATGAGAGCCAGCTCAGCCCGAGCCCTGGGATGCTGAGAGGTGGGTGAAGATGACGGTGACAGGCACGGCCACTGGGGAGAGGCTTTGGCTCTGGTGGGGTCGCCACATGGGCATGGCCAACCCAGACCCTGTCCTCCCCACCCCGAGTCCCAGGGCCACCCAGCCGCACAGAGAGGCACCCATGCTCCTGCCACCAGAGGCAAAGCCGGTAAGCTATGAGGCGACAGCAGATGAGGAGGGAGGTGGCCATTGGGGTGGCAGGGCAGGCCAGGGCCCTGAGCGCAGCGGTACCTGACCAGAAGGGGGCAGAAGGGCCCTGGGGGGCAAAGCTGAGGCCCTGAGGACTGAGAAAAGAGAAGTTGTAGGAAGCACAGGACGCTGCAAAGAGGCGAGAGAGAGCGTGAGACAGACGCGTGGGCAGCCGCTGGGCGGGGTGCCAGGGGGATGCCAGCACCCTGCCAGCTGGTGCTCCAGACTGGTGCCCACTCCGCTGCTTGGCTCTGCCCAGGAACACCATGCCCCACAGTCCCTGCAGGCTGGGTGGGGTGAGGAGACATGCGCCCCAAGTTCCCGCACGCTCTCCCAGCCAGGGGCCAGGGGCCAGGCTCAGGAGGACCTGCGCTTCCCCACCCATGCTGGCGCCAGGCATGGGACCTCCCATGGCGGCCTCTGGGCTGGGAGCCAGACAGCAGGGCAGAGCTGCTGTGGGTCCCTGTCTGTCACGAGGCACAGGAAGGGACACAGGTGGCCCCAAGGGCCTGGGCCCGGCCCTGCCAGCAGTGGGCAGGGGGTGGCGTTACCTGGGGAGCGGCTGGAGGCCCTGGGGACAGTGCGCTCCCGGGACTTGTAGGGGTACTTCAGTGTGGTGTCCAGCTGCTTGAAGCTCTCCTTGAGCGAGTGGCTCTGGTAGTACTCCACCAGCTCCTGTGGGCAGCCACAGCACACCTTCAGGGGCCACCCAGGACCCCGCCTCCGTCCCTCCCCAGCACAGGGGGCATCGTGGCTAGCCCTCAGCCTGGCAACTGCGTCCCCAGATTTCCTAGAGGAGGAACCTTGAAGAACACCGAGGCTGAGGGACGGGGATGTTGCCCGCCACATGCCCAATAAAGGACATAGGCTGGACGTCCTGTGCCCAACGGGACAGGGCTCAAGTCCACGAGAGAGGGAGAGGATTTGGCACGGGCAAAAGTGGGTCACCCTGACGGTCACTAGGGCCCCGCAGTGGGTCACCAGGCCCTGCAGTAGGTCACCCTGACAGTCACTAGGGCCCCGCAATAGGTCACCCTGAGGGTCACCAGGGCCCCGCAGTAGGTCACCCTGAGGGTCACCAGGGCCCCGCAGATCACCCTGACAGTCACCAGGGCCCCGCAGTAGGTCACCCTGATGGTCACCAGGCCCTGCAGTGGGTCACCCTGACGGTCACCAGGCCCTGCAGTGGGTCACCCTGACGGTCACCAGGCCCTGCAGTGGGTCACCCTGACAGTCACTAGGGCCCCACAGCAGGTTACCCTGACGGTCACCAGGGCCCCGCAGTAGGCCACCCTGAGGGTCACCAGGGCCCCGCAGTAGGTCACCCTGAGGGTCACCAGGGCCCCGCAGTAGGTCACCCTGAGGGTCACCAGGCCCTACAGTAGGTCACCCTGAGGGTCACCAGGCCCCGCAGTAGGTCACCCTGAGGGTCACCAGGCCCTGCAGTGGGTCACCCTGATGGTCACCAGGTCCAGCGGTAGGTCACCCTGACGGTCACCAGGCCCCGCAGTGGGTCACCCTGACGGTCACCAGGGCCCCACAGTAGATCACCCTGATGGTCACCAGGGCCCCGCAGTAGGTCACCCTGACGGTCACCAGGCCCTGCAGTGGGTCACCCTGATGGTCACCAGGCCCTGCAGTGGGTCACCCTGACGGTCACCAGGCCCCGCAGTGGGTCACCCTGACAGTCACCAGGCCCTGCAGTGGGTCACCCTGACAGTCACTAGGGCCCCGCAGTGGGTCACCAGGCCCTGCAGTGGGTCACCCTGACGGTCACCAGGCCCCGCGGTAGGTCACCCTGACGGTCATCAGGCCCCGCAGTGGGTCACCCTGACGGTCACCAGGGCCCCACAGTAGATCACCCTGACAGTCACCAGGGCCCCACAGTAGGTCACCCTGACAGTCACCAGGCCCTACAGTGTGCCAGGGTGTTTGCCACTGAGAGGTAAGACACATTCCCACCACACCGGCCCTGGGTTTAGGTGCTGGGACTACAGACGCTTCCTGTCTGACCCTCTGCTTTCAAGGGCCAGAGTGGAGGAGGCACTGCCCTAGCCTGGGGACCTCAACGCATGCCACTTAGGAGGCGGGAGGGAACCAACTGACTCTGACATCACACGAAGGGGACCGTGCCTACGTCTGTGTCCCGGCGGACAGGAGGGGGCACTGCAGAGGTGGGCACTGCGATCACCTCCTGGGGCTAGGGCAGCGCTGGCAGGGTCCCCTCCTGCTGCGCCCAGGGCTACCCGCCCAGCACAGGTTCCAGAGGTCAGAAGTCCTAGCTCCAGGGTGTGCCACAGCCCTGACGCTCCCAGTGCCACACACTCATGTTCCACACTGTGCCCTGGGAGACGTGGGCGGGTGGACAGACGGACGTACCGAGAGGCTCTCGAACTTCTTGGCCTCTGTGATGTGAACCCAGCCGTCCTTCTCCACCACCTTGATGTGCTTCACCTCATCGTTGAACCTGGCATGGGGCCAAGCCCTCGGGTCACCATACAGGGATCGTGCTGCCCTGGCTGTGCTCTCTGGGCTCTACCTCCCAGCCCTGCCACTGCCACCCGGGCCCGTCCACCATCGCACCCACTCCCTCCAGGCCTGCTTCTGTGGCAGCCTCGCGTGGGGCATCCATGGGGTGGGCACAGAGGAGAGAGGAAGGTGTGGGTGTCCACAGGACACCCCCTTCCCTGCCAGCTCTGTCACCTGTAGCTCTGCAGCACAGGCGGAACTGCCTCAGGCATCAGGTGGCCAGGTCCTGGGACCCGCGGAGCCCAGCAGAACAGAGGGGCCACGGATACGGGCCCACGGGTGTCCTGGCCCGACAGACCCCGCACAGGGAACCCCCCACAGCCCCAGGGCCGCCCCTCACTTGATGCTGATGGCAAAGCGCTCAGCCTCCGCAGGCCGCTCCCGGACGAGGTAGGTGCCGCTGGCATGGCCCTTGAGCAAGGTGTCCGTCTGCTGCCGCTCCATGCTGCCTGCAAACCTAGGCCCGGGGACAGGCTGTGTGACCCAGCGCAGGACGCTGGTCTGTCAACACCGTGCCAGCCAGGGGCTGGGGAGCAGGGTGGTAGCGAGCACTCGCCCATCACATTTCTTTTCTAAAAGTATTTTGCATCAGGCATGGTGGGGCACGCCTATCACCCCAGCACGGGGGAGGCTGAGGTAGGAGAGTTGTTGTGAGCTCCAGCCCAGGCTGAACTAGACAGCAAGACCAGGCGTTAAAAAAAAAAAAGCACTCATGTGACCTCTTATGCTTTGGAGGAAACGGGGAGACATCAGTTGATTCCAAGCGGACTCTGCTGGGTCAGCGCATCCCCTGTGTGTCCCCCGGGATGGCTGGGACCTGACAAACCATGCCACCAAGGAGAAACGCTAAGCTTCTTTTAGCTTTTCCATCAAGGAAAACCCCCAGCTTGAGTGCTGGTCGCCGCAGGTGAGCACGGGGCGGCTGAGGCCCAGGGATGCCACAGGCTTCTCAGAGACACTGGGCAGCCGGCTCTGGGAAAAGGGCTCATTATGCAGAGGGGCAGGGGTCTTGGCGGGCTTCCAGGACGAAGCCCAGGCGCACACAGAAGGGCAGCTCCCCCAGGCAGAGGTTGCCAGGTCTGCCGCGATCCACTCACCAGGGGTAGGCAGTGTAGTCAATCTCCCTCGATGGTGGCCGGCTGATGGGCGGCTGGGGGCAGAGCAAAGCTGTCAGGTCCCTGGGGCCTCCGCGGGCAGGGGCGGGGCTGTGGCAACCACGCGTTCCCAGGCCGCGCACGGGTGCATGGAACAAGGAGGGCGCCCAGAGCTTGCCCAGCACTCTGCTGGACTGTGTGGCTCCTGGGGCTGGGGCTGGGGCTGGGCACCCCCTGCCATTTGGTGGTGCATGAGAAAATGACATTGGAAGGGCCAGGTGCAGACCCAGGATGGGGAGTCCTTGGCAGTGGTGGGCATGAGCCGGCTTGCACCCAGAGCCCTGCCCCACACCCATCCTGCCCCCTGGCCATTCACGGCCTGGGAGGGGCCCTGGTGGGCCGGGAGCTGGTGATGCCAGTCTCCCCTCTGCGAGTCCCCTGGGCCTGCTCACGGAGCCTGTGCACTGACGCTTCCTCCTTCACCTGGGCAGGGCGCAGGCCCCTGTCACCCTGGGCTGCTCTGGGGGTGAGCTCAGTGTACTTGGGCTGCTAGCTCACGGCGCCCTGCAACGGAGCTCAGGGCTGGCTTGACCCCTCCACCGTCCGATGCTACCCACTCGGCCCTTCTTCCAAATAGCTAAGTCCACTGCTGACTCCTGCGTGGGGCTTCCGCCTCTCTAGGGCTGGGCGATGCCTCAGACACCCCAGCCCCCGCACATCCAGCCCACGGAGGGGCCTCGGCCAGCCGCACCAACAGCCGGCCAGGGCACCCTGGGCAAGCCAGGCACACGCAGGAGGCCCCGTGCCTGGCACCCTGCCATGATGCCCCTCGGGAAGGGACTCACCCTTCCGTCCACCGGGCAGGGCTTTACCGACGTGCTGGGAAAGTACCCAGACTTCCTGGTCTGCACCAGCCGCCCCTGAGGAAGACACCCACATCCACTCAGCTGCGCCATCCGTCCTGACGACTGCTGCCTGCCCCGCCTCGACTGACCCCATCATGGCTGTGCGGGAGCGAGGGCAGCCCCCTTTACAGGGAGGACGCAGGCCCAGTGGAGCAGCGGCGCCGGCACAGCCGCCAGGGACAGAGAGGTCAGGGCTGGGAGGGGCAGAGGCCGGGAGGAGCGTGGGGCGCAGTCAGCGCGCAGACCCATCCCCAGCCGCACGGCTGCCTGGTCTGGTTCCAGGAGGCCAGAACTCGATGATGCTGATGGTGGCCGAGCACAGGGCCACCGCTGCCCTCGGGGCTCCCCGGGCACTGGTGGGGGCGAGTGGCACAGGGCGGGTGGAGGCTTCTGACCTGAGGTAGCAGCAGGCAGAGCTACCTCAGAGCAGGATGGCATGTGTGGGGCTGCGGGGCCCCTGAGAAGGCGGGCAAGGGGACCCGCACACCTTGCGTGAGGAGGGCCAGGATCGTGGCCTTGGCACAAGAAGGCACAGCTCGGACCTCCGTGCCAGCACACCTCTGCGCCTGGCACTGCCATGGGACTTCCGCCTGGGACACAAGGGCCATGGGGGGCACTCACCTCCCACCACTGTGACTCAGGGTCGCCGCGCAGCAGCTCGATTACATCGCCCGTCTGGAAGGTGAGCACGGGCTTGCCGGGCGGTGCGGGGTTGCCGTGGTAATTCTGCACGGCCACCATCTTGGGACCTGCAGACACGGCGCGGGGAGGACAGGGCTGCTGGGGACCAGGAGGCTGGCTGCCCACCCAGCCGCCCGACCTCAGCCTCCAGGCTTCTCCAGCCTGGGAGCGCCCTGGCGGGTCTACCCTGACACACAGGCAGCGTGAGTCCCCCACATGCCCCTGTTCCTCTGACTAATGTCCTGAGCAGAGAGCTCCTGCTGCACGGCGTGAGAACAGACGGGACAGGGCCACACACGTCACCCAAGCGTGCTGTACCCTCAGGCTGGGGCCCTGCTGCATGCAGGTGACCAGGGCTCGGCGGCCTAGGCACCTGCACGGGGCGCCAGTGGTGAGCACGGCTCGGGCACCAAGAGGGGGTGCTGGCTGCTGACGGCATTGCTAAACAAGCCTGGCTGTGACGCGGCCCCGTGCAGCTGCTGAGCCGCCAGTGCCAGTCTGCAGTGTCTGACCCGTGCCCCAGGGCAGCAGCACAGTCTGGGTTTTGTCTCCCTGTGCACCGTGACGGCTCCATACGGATCACACTGAGGTTTCTGATGCCCACAGGGCCTGGGGGGCACAAGGACCCAGTACGATGACCCAGGGCACTGCGACTCCACTCCTGGGGCCACCAGGCAGGTGCTGTGCCTCCCCAGGAAAGGACAGTGACCTTCCATGGCTGGCCCCGGAGGCCAGAGGGACAGGGGACAAAACAGCCACCACCACTCCCAGGCACACAGCAATTCAGACCCAGCACTCACCTGGTCCTGCTCCAGAGGGGTCCTGTGGACAGGGACAGACAGGAGCAGTAAGCAAAGGCCCTCCTTGACCCCTGCCCCCTGTGGCTCCCTGTCCCTGGTGGAAAGGTCAGGCAAGGAGAAGGGAACCTGCCCTGGACACTGGGTGACACCTCCCACTTCAGGCCTGTTCCTCCTCCAGGAAGCCTGCCCTGACCACGCCAGGCTCAGGGTGCAGGTCTCCGCCTGGGTCGCGGCTAGGTAATGGGTGACAAGTGTCCAGCACCCTCTGAGGCCAGGTGTGCACCATTCGAAGCCGGCTCATTTATCTGGAGCCACAGCACACGGGAGCACAAAGGCTAGGCCCCCCGTGGCCATCTCCCCATGTCAGCTAAACAGAGGGCTCCGTGCCAGGCAGGCAGGGCCAGCATGGCATGTGGTACTGGGGATAGAACCTGGGTCCTTGCGCTTGCCAGGAAGGTGCTTAGACTGCTGAGTTATCTCCCCAGCCCAGGGGCCCCATTTCTACTGATGTCTACGGAAGGAAACGAAGACCCCAGTGACCCTGGGGTGCTGGTGCGCAGGCCCGGGAGGGAGTGTGGGACTCACCAGGTCTGTGGGAGAGCCTGCAAAGAAAGAGGACAGGGGTTAGGGGCCGGGTGGGAGCCTCCCACTTCAGACACGGGTGACGGACACACACACGGGCAGGTAGGACCACAAACGTCACTGATGGCCCTGACAGATTCCAAGCTGTGGCTGTGGCGGCTCCTGAGGCCACATGGTGGGTGTCACAGACCCGGGCACCAGGGCCTCCTGCCCAGGCCCATTCTGTCGGAAGCTGGCAGGTGTCCAATTGCTGCGGTGCCTAGCACCGGCCCTGGGCAGCGACGAGGTGTGGGTGCCCACCCCTGACACAACTGTTTCCTCAGGATGGACAGGTGCCACTGTGCCCGCTGACAAGGTTCTGAGAGATGTCAGGTCAGAATCCTCCCCAGCCACCTGCCGAGCCAGGCCACCTCCCGCCAAAGCACATAATGACTCTGCAGCCAACGCAACCCTCAGGGCTATGGGCGCTCTGGACACACGCAGGTCCCCACAGCCCCAGGGCACAGGCCACAGCCCAGGGGTGTCGGCTAAGGCGGGGGCCACCTGGCAGTGCGGAGGGCTTCCCCGCCAGGCCCCGGGGAGAGGCTGGAATGCACTAGCTCTGGCTTCCACAGGGCTGATGCTGCCCTCGGCTGGGCTGCAGGGGGAGCTGGGAAGGGCCCGGGGGCCGGGGTGTGGCCTGGGGGCCCAGGCTGTGCTCCCCCTCTACCCTGAGTTACATTTCCTAACTTTCGCACAGAAAACAAGAACCCAGTCATCAGGAGGAGGAAAAGCTAACCTGCCGAGATTATTTTCTAAGAAAACACTTGAAACAGGCGAAACCCTGGCTCGGGCATTTCTAGGTATAGCTGTGGGTCATCTGTTTCTTTATTTCTCTCCTTTCCTTTCCCTTCCTCTCCTCCAGAATTTTTTTTCCTTTTGGCAGAACGGGGGATTGAACTCAGGCCCTTGCACTTGCCAAGCAAGCGCTTATTCTACCCAGCCCTCCTCCAGATTTCTGATAATCACATAGCTGTAAGAATCAAGCTGCTTAAAACGATCAGAGGAACCCGCATGCCGCATTGTGGTGGCCACAGAGGGCGGTGCTGAGGCAAAGCGGGAGCGCTCAGCCCAGCCAAGGGGCACCAGACTCCGATCCACGCTCACCTAAATTCCTGACTAAGGTACATTCCAGACAGTGGGCTGGTGGGACAAGCCTGCCTGACTCGCTGTCTCCCAGGTGGCCCCATGAGACAGGGCCTGGGGACAGGGACTGGGACACAAACAACCTTTCCTGAGTCCCTTAATGGAGCCGACAGAGCTCTCCAGCCCACCTCCGAGCACAGGTCGGAGGTGACGGGACACCTCTGGACTCACCACGTGGATGGCAAGGTGCATGCCCAGCTGCAGGGCGGTGACCCACGGCCCTGCCAAGTGCAAAGGGCTGGTCCCTACCGGGCAGAGGGTGGACATGGGCCAGCCTGCCTGGCTGAGGGTCCCAGCACCGCTGAGCCCCGAGACACAGAGCCAGCCAGACTCCTCTGGTGGCAGCTTGCTGTCCCCCGGGAGGTGGCATGGAACAGGGTCCCCACCTGGATGGAGCACAGGGAATGGCACCTGGCACTCAGCAGTGCCCTGCCCTGCACGGTGCCACCCTGGAGCCACGCTGCCCTGCCAGGGCTGTGTATTCAGGAGGAAGTTTCGGGGCTGGGTGGCTCAGGGACAGAGCATCCTGGTGCGTGAGGCCCCGGAAGGGCTGCGCATTTACACGTGCAGAGCCCTGGGTCCACACAGGGACGCAGAAGGGACGGGGCTGCTGCACGGGTACTCACTGATCTTGCAGGGGGGAATCACCTCCAGGCACTCCTTGTGGGCCCCGACGCCACACCTGGTGCACAGGTAGCCCTGGTAGAAGGTGCCCCTGCGGAGAGGGTGCAGATGAGCCCCCTGCAGCTGGCCCGGGTGACCACCCTGGCTCCAGCGCCCCTCCCACCCTCCGCCCCAGCCCTGGGCTATCCCCGGGTGACCCCTCTGGCTGGGCCAGGGCGGTACTCTGAGCAGAGCTGCGAGGGATGCCCACCGGAGGAACATCCGGCAGGCTTTGCAGCTGGTGGTCCTGTCGAACGTGTACATCTGGAAGCTGTGGTGGTTGGCGTTGGCTTTGTCTGGCCGGATGTTGGACCTGGG